AGAAAAGAGCTGCCAGTGTTAAGTGCGACTATTTTCGCGTCGATGACACATCGTCGCTGATTGGATGGAATCGAGCCTCTAAATTTAAATAATACCCCTTTCGATCCCTCTCCGAGATCAAACTTTTCATCTCCTTCTCTTCGTTCATTTTATATTTTCCCCTTTATTCTCCGTTTCTTTTTTTCCTTCCATTTCCTTCACGAGCATTGTCCCGATCTTGATGTTCTTCCAGGGTTCGATTTCGAATCGAAACGTTACTCGTTTCTTAATAACTTCTCTCGATAATCGAAACTTTCTATCGACGGTTTAATCGCGTATCTCGAGGACAATTCCCATAAGTAAATCCGTAACGTCGATAAGGTACACATTAGTAGTTACGGCAATTGTTTGTCTATAACAGGAGTATAAGAAAGATATCGTCTGCGTCGACGCGTAATCGGTACGTTCAGAAGACGAAAGAAGCGTCGTCGCTAAAAGATCGAGGTATTTCTCGTAAAGGAGCGCGTTACGATCGAATCGAATAGAGCGAATATTCGAGCGAATCGGTAGATGATTCAGTTAACAGAGAGGGAGAAAGTATCCATGAATGGATAGCCGAGAGAGACGGTAATTCGTTGGCAAGCGACGAGAGGCAGTCAGCTGGGGTGCTTTCGTACAGCCGATCGGCAAAGCTCGATTTATATTTATTGCGTGCTCAGCCGATCCGTCGTGTCTCTCTTTTCACCCGAGAAGAAGCGCGCGTGAGTCATGCCGGATGCCAATTGGGCGAGTGGCCCGATTAACGTTGCACAATCTACCGAACACCTGATCAACGCGCTTTCCTTCGACGTCATTTTTTCTTTTCCTTTTCGCTGTTCGATCGAGCGATTAATCGCGAGTCGAGTTAAAAATCGTCGAAAAAGGAGAAGAAGAAATAACCGGTGACAAAGACATCCGGACGAGGCGAGGACGAGGCGAGGACAAGGCGAGTTCGAATAATTAATAATTGGCAAGAATGAAGGAGACTCCCACCGGCTCGGATAGAGCAAAGTGGCCCTGATAAACGGTGGAAATGAGTCGGCTAGTTGGCCGTTTCCTCATTTGCCCGGTCCACACGCTGGATCCGACACCCACCATTAGATTTAAGAGATTTTACGGAATCTCGTGTGTACGCTCTATCCCGGCTACACTCGGAGAGACACCCAACGAGATCGGATCCGCTTAAATGGCTCGCATCCTCCGCCTACGCGTCCGCTCGTCCGATTTTCCACCACTTTTTTCCAGCAGACGTTCTTCCTCTCCTCGAGAAGAGTCGAATCGCGGAAACGGATCGAACCGAACGAGACCGCTTTTCTCTATCCATCGAGAGAGGGAGAGAAAGATCAGTTCCTCGAGCAGCAGGATCTTGTACGACGAAGCTTCTCGCGACCAGGTACGCGGGTTAATGGTACCAGTTTCACCGGCGCGGCGCATACTCGTTACGAAAACAATATAAAGGGACACGTAACGGGCGAACCGAGGTCACCGAGCCTCGTAATATTCCTCTACGTAGACCTCTATGTATTCCAGTTCGTAAGGTCATTTATGAAACTGGTCCGTCTTACGACATTTTATAAACCTGTTCCCGAAAAAGATTGCGAGTACACAGCGGTCGACGTTAACGCGCCGTCAAACGGATCGACACTTTGAATTTCAAGCATTTTTTCCAACACCGACTCTACTAAGCTTACCCGTTCGACGCTACCCGTTATTCAGCCGGATATATTCAAGAGAAAGAGAGAGAGAGAGAGTATTTACTCGAAACGATGAAAAATAGCTGGCCATAAAGAGGCGAGAAACTGCTTCTTCCTTGCCGTCATTGATACAAATCGCGGGAACGATCGTCCTCCCTTTTTCTTCGCGAAAAGGCGTTTACGCTCTCTTTCGCGAATCTTATAGAAATACGTTTCCGTTATCCTCGAGAAACGATGATAATAATAATAATAATAATAATAATAATAATAATAATAATAATAATATTAATAAAGACGATCGAAAAGCGTAAATGTTCTAAGAGAGATTTTGTTCGATTACAGAAGTGTTGGGGACCGGCAGTTCGTCGTGGCAAAGCGAGGATGCCGGAGCGAACTCGCGACGCGGAGGAGAGACGCCGTCGTCTTGCGCGACACCAACGTCGGTCAGCTTTCCGTCGGAGCCCGAAGTCGACGCCGACGTCGCCGCGAACGCCGATGGAAACAACGCGAACGCGCCTTATCCTTGTCAGTTTTGCGATCGCACCTTTCCACGACTAAGTTACTTGAAAAAACACGAACAGGTATATAAAGATTCTTAGGATCTAACTTCGAAAACTGTGTGGTTGGCGCGTAGATAGTTTTTACCGAGCGAGTTAGAATTTATCCGCGCTTATCGAGGTCGCGTATGTGGAAGCGGCTTTTATCGAAGTTACCGAGAAGCCACCTGGACGGAAGAACCTGACCGGTACAACCTGTTATGGGCCACGCGGTACAGATTTTGACCCGACGATGATCCGCCGCCAACTTGAACCGCGTGATCGCGAATCTCTAATGGCACCGGCACGCGAAATAAAACGATCCCTCCGCGCGTCGCTCGTTCGGTTAGACGATCGTTAGAATTCGCTTTCCAGTAACATACGTATAAGTTGTTTCGGTGGCTCGCGATCGGTTCGCTGTTCGGAAGGTCTTTGTCCGACGATAGTATGGTAGTCGGTGGTACGCGTCGGAGGTAGAGAGCCGTTGAAGGTGATCGCTTCGCCCTTCCGTCCGGATTGTCTCTTCAAAGGAGCCGACCGCTCCGCTACGTGGTACGTGCCGAGGTTAACTTGCTCGGACGAACACCGACTCGAAAAGAGAAGGAAAAAAAAAGTAACGGTTGAACAAAGAGAATGACCCGGCCGTTTGCTCGCGATCATATCGGTCACACTGATCTACCTGGGTGACAACCATCGTTCCTCACCGGGGAAGAATTCCTTCCTCGGTGAGGAGAAGACGTTTCTTTTCTTTTGCCGACCTGATCCGTCAGCCATCGGACGGATCTATACCTACGATTTCATTTCGCTGCTGGCTACTTATCGTTTCTCGATATTTTACAGAGTCACGGCGATCAGATGCCTTACAGATGCAGTTGGTGCGCCAGACTGTTCAAGCATAAACGCAGCAGAGATCGACACGTGAAACTTCATACCGGCGACCGAAGATATCGATGCACGCACTGCGAAGCTGCTTTCTCCAGGAGGTCGGTACGACGCTCGAACCTTTCCTAGCCCCTTTCGCTCCTCTTTCTCGGACAACTCGATTGAACCAATTCTAACCATCCTTGTAGAGATTCGCGGTAAAAACGAGTCCCTCAGGCCGTGCAGAAACGAAGACGGACAGCGAATTCGCCGGTGCACTTTGCGTTTCAATAATTCACGCGTCGAAATTATCGACTGCCGTTACCCTCTGCCCGTTCTATTATCGCGCGTGTCGTTTCCACCTACCTTGCCTGTCTGTAAAGACCGGACGCGACGGGACGAGACTGCTAGAGGTCTTCCGTTTCCCCCCCC